GGTCCCCCCCTCCGCCCCCCCCCCCCGCCACCGATTTTTATTTTGGGCCCTCAAGACGACTTTGGATTTTTTTTTGATTTTTGCACCTATATATATATTTTAGGGCTTGTCTGACAACTATGGAGATTTATTGCACTAGTTTTGATACATGATTCAACAGGGACGGCCCTGGCCCTCAGCCTCAGGCCCTTTGGGCTCATGGCTCAGCTGTTCAGCAGCGAGAGAAATATTTCCTCTCTCTCAGAGTCTATGTAGATTGTAGACTCGCAGTCTCAGTCTCTCAGAGTCTCATAACCGTCCTTGACTCTCTTCCGTAGAAAGAGTAGAGAGAGCCACCATTCCAATCAGTCACCACTCACAGAGCGGGAAACTTAAAATATAAAGTACTGCCGTAGCAGGTCAGCTGTCCAGCCGTCCAGGTCTGAGCTCACAGGCACCACTCACCACTGTCACCAGCCAGCTATCGCATTTTTCATTTTTGTTTTAGGGTTTAGGGTTTTTAGGGTTTAGGGTTAAGTATTTTAGTATAGTACAAGGCCTGGGGCCTGGGGCCTGGGGTCTGGGTCTCTACTAGGGTCGTCGGGCGACCTGAGGAGACAAGACTCGGATACTGGGCCTCTAAATACTAGTCCCTGCTGGGACTATAGTAGGGAATTGAGACTCGAGAGTTGGGGACCCTGGTCCTCTCTTCTCTCAGAGAGAGAGTCTCAATCAAGGTCATCAATCACGTGTATTTGTTTTGTTTTGTATTGTTTTGTTTTATTTTGTTTCGTCTTTTGAGAAACTATTTACATTTGCTTTTTTCTGTTTTGTGTAGAAAAAACAAATTACCTTTTCAAAAAAAACAATGTCTTTTAGAAGGCTACGAAAACTTGAAAGCGGTTGAATTATTTTCCAGAGACATCCGACTCTTGCGGAGAACGAAAAGTGAAGGCAGAAAGGGCAGAGGCAAGCCCCTTATATTTCGAAACTGTGTTTATCCCCAGGTCCAGGAGACCAGGAGACCAGGGCCCACAGGACAAACCCCGCCTGCCTCTCTCATCAGAGGCTACAGGTTATTATGCCGCCTGATCAGTTTATCACTTATGGTTCCCACTTCCCAGTTCCCACTGAGTACCCAGTTCCCATAGACCCACACTACAAGAGGTGATCCCAAGTTCCCAACTTCCTAGTAGTAGTAGTAGTAGTAGTAGTATGTAGTAGAGAGTAGAGTTCCAGCTAGTTCCCAGTTCCCAGTTCCCAGTTCTCACCGTCATCATTTAGCCTCTTTTAGGTCTATTGGTTTTTTCAATTAGAAATACAGATATATTTTATAACAGCTTTTTTAAAACAAGAGTAGATTAAATGATAAAGTCCCATACTGCTTATTGGAAGTCCAGAGTTGCCCCGACTCCCGAGTACTACCGCTGAATAGCCGACCGATGTTCGGCTCCAAACGGATGTACTACATATCCTTATTGTTTTCAGAATCAGACCATTGGATCAAATAGCCACTATTTATTCATATTTACTCTCAAGGGAATCTCTACTCTCTCCCACACCGCAAGTTGTGCAGTGACACAGTCTTTCACTGAGTTCAAAGTTGTGACTTGTGAGTACTCACTTCTGCATTTTATGTTTATTTTTGGGGCTTTCAATTATAATACAACAATATAATACGAATAAAAATTATAAAATACAACATGTTCCCAGTTTCGTGATATACGCGTGCGGTTGGTTGTTTGTAATATTCAGGGATACCCCGGAGTCCCGGAATCATAACTCATTTGACATTTTGGGGCTTGGTATGGTGAGTTACTGACGATGGGTTGTACTGACTTATGCAGTTCTTTTTTTTAAATGTGCTTGATTTTGCACGGTATACCGGATGAGTGAATACAAGCATGTCTACAACTCATTACTAGATTGCGTCCGTGTGAGCTCAGCACGTTCGCAATTTGCATAATAAGTGTTCTGTTCAAGCTTTGACATGTCATGCCTGTAGTATCATGATGACAATCCTCTTTTTTACATAGTCTCTGCAGACTCTACTCTCTCTCTTTCTCTTGTTCGATAGAAGACTATGATGAATGATCTGCACATATGCGAATTGTCTTTTTTTTTTCTTGTCTTTTAATTGGTATGGTTACGGCAGAATGTGGTGACGATAGATTGTACTATTTTCTTCCATTTACTGGTCCGCGTCCTCCGAGATCGCATAGCAGCAAAGCAGCGTAAGTGCTACAAAATAAACTAGGTACAGCTCATTATAGTGCGTGTTACTTGTGCAACAATCCGGGCTGATAGTGTGGTATAAGTTGTTGGATGGCGGTGGCTGACCTATGGAATAGTTGTCACAAAATGCTCCGACAAGAGATATTCGTACGTCTACAACCGATTGTGTGATAGCTATATATATAAATATATATATATACATATATATACATAAAAAATACATATATATGCATATATATACATATATATACATATATATACATATATATACATATATATACATATATATGCATATATATATATATATATATACATATATATACATATATATACATATATATACATATATATACATATATATAATATATATATATA